TAAGTGAAAGGTCTTAGGTTCAATTCTCGTTAAGGAAAATTTGAATCACATTAATATTATCTCATTACAAGGCTAAACTCACCTTATTCTTCTTAGTTTCACTTTGAAGCTCTAAATATGTTATAAGTTGACGCAAGTCATAGAATGGCTAAAAAAAACATATATTAGAGTTACTACCTTGACGAATAAACGAAACGACAATGGCTAAAAAAATCTCAATGGAGCAAGAAAGTTCTTGGCGATAGACTAATGAGGTCAAGAATAAACGGCTCCCATGTGAAATAAAAAACCATAGTTAATACCACTTTGGTACTTCAGGAAGAAAAAAAACCCACTTTGGTACAGTTTGGAAGATAAAATAATCCTACAAATTCCATAAGCTTTAAAAAGTTCCACACCCTAAAATCTATCAACATCTATTTGTATAAACACCGAAAGAAGAGAACTGTTGGATTAATTTAGCACTTGGTTCGGTTATTGCGCTTAAATGATTTATATATTTTTTAAATATGAAATAATATAAATAATGGAAAAACTCCACGAAAGATAATTGTATTCAAGATTGTCAGGGCAAGGTCCCACCTTAATTAGTTTAAGACCTCAAGCTTAATAAAGCATGATGTTAACGGGCATGTGAATCTGTTACTAAACCTTAAATTATGGAAAGTATATTGTTATATAAATAAATAAATAATTATCATGTACTTCACAGTAAGCATTAAGTGTCGTATGAAGTGGGTTGTAGAGCGATTGCATTTCAAGACTTTGTTCTTCTATCTTTACGTTGAGCGATTGCCACTTAATACTACGATCTAGTGATATTCCTCTTTATTTGTAAGTGAGAGCTCTTAGCTTTGATTCTCGCCAAAAACGAATTTAAACTACATTATTATTAGCACATTGTGAAACTAAGCTCATTCATTTTTTTCTTAAGGTAAATAATATCGTTTGTTCAAAGCAAAAAAAAAAAAAAAATCAGGTAGTGACAGGACCTTGTCCATGAAATGAAGGTTTGTATATGGACAACAGGTTCAAGGCCTACATTCATCATTTAATAAACCATTAGGAAATTAGAGTGAGAGCATAATTGGACGTTTCCATACTCCTCAAAGCTTGCCCGACTAAATTATTAGAAATCATGTCAACTTCAACATGGTTGTCGTGACGATCATACAAAATTCCCTCCATGATTTTTACGCCATCAACGGTGGTACAAACAACCCCAATCACAAAGGATATCATAATGAACATAATAATATAGGTTCTGAGGGCTATATGAGTTTGTGAATTAATCTTTTGTCTTTTACTCATGTCACATGCATTCTACTAGCATGCACAACAAATATTTAATTAATTTTTAGTTGAAGAACTAAAATTTTAACAAAAGAAGAAAAATAGTGAAATTGTTGTAATTAATATTTAACGTTGTGTGATTTTGTAAATCCTTAATAGATTTGGCTTAGGATTCCAATGTAACCTCGTGATTCTATCCTCTTAGGTTTTGTATTACTTGGAGAGCAAGTATCTCTATTTATGGTTTACTATAAAAAAAGGCACTAACACGAGGGAAACGTATTTTCAAATTTCGTGGAGCACTATCCTCTCTTTCTCTCTCTTTAATGCACCCTCTCATTGCAATCTTTCTTTTGCTGAAATCTCATTGTCTCTGACGATTTAATTTGAGATTCACATCAAATCGAGTCGAGATTTTGTGAGATTTAATTCGAATCTCTATGAATTTGGACCTCGACATCCAGACATTCTTCCCAGTTGCAATTTTAAGGTTCCTAGACAAACTTATGACTCACATCAACCTTCTTGGGTTGAGATCATCGCTGTCTGTCACGGCGCCACTAGCTTCTCCTGTGAAACCCCACCCAGCCTTGCTGGGCTGTTCTCTAGTCTACTTAAGCCATGTTGGGCTTCCCCTGCACTCGGCTCACATGAACCAATCCCAGTTTTTGGGCTTGGGCACCACTGCTTCTTGTTTTGGCTCCCATTGTGCCCTTGTTCTACTGAACCTACCAAAATAGCCCAGTTTCTGAGCTTCTGCTCTCTGCCCGTTCCCTATGTTGGCTTGTAGCGCAAGCAGTAACTAATCAGCCCCAATTTATGGGTCGTGACACATCTCACATAGTTGGCCCTATAAACTTCATTTACTTGTTGTTTTATATATTATTGTTCTGTATATATTGCGTTTGCTTGTAGGTACCCATGAACTTGAAGTTCATAAATTTGAACTCAAAGTTTCGAATAAGTGCCATAGAAACCTGAAGTTCACTTAAAACACTACACCTATGAAACCCACAATTTTCATGTAAAGTTAAACCAAAACATGTATAATAGAACCTAAATGTTATACTTTGTGTGTATGGACGATTTTTTCATTCATTCCACTAATCACAACCTTTTTCCCTTGGTTATAGCGACATGTCAAATTTGAACAAACTCGACTTTACGCTATGGAAGTCTCTGGAAGAAACTACCTGAAGTGGGTCCATGATGTGAAGTTCCACCTTACTGCAAAGAGTCTTAGGGCCACCATTCAAGCTGATCCAGATAACCTGGTTGGCAAAGCTAAAAAAAGCAACCACCATAATTTTTATATGAAGCCATATGCATGACGCACTCCTAGCCAAGTACCCGGCAAACCGAGTACTCCACTGAAGAAGATTCAAGAGCTTTATGTCTCACTTTGGAAGAGCTCTTTGATCATTACATATATATCTTATTGCATGAAGTAAGACACGACTAGCAGCATTTACGCTTCCAATACTTGAAGTCTATGAATGAATACAATTCTGAAGTTTGTTGAATCCAATCACTCTCAAGTTTTTTAAAGAGGACTTGACTAAACAGAATCTCCTGGAGAAAACCTATTCAAGTTTTCATACCATCAGTATTGTCCAAAAGTAACAATATAGGGCACAAGAATGACAAACTTTTCAAATTTGATCTTTCTCTAACTACTTGCAAAAAAGCAAAACTAGCTGTTGATGAAAAATTATCAAGTTAGGCCTACTGGCTCAACTGTTGTGCTTGAAGCACATGCCAATATGAATCTAGGCCTAAATGGATACCATAGGCGTGGCAGGTGAAGTAAGGGCTTAAACCTTAAGTCAAAGGCCCAAGGTTTACAAAGCAATGACCCATGCAAGGGAATAAACCAAGCCTCAAAGGGTGACAACCTCGCTCCTAAAGTCTCAAACTTAAAGAATAAGGGCAAAGTACCCGCCCACCATAGAAGCAGATATGTGCATCGTTGTGGTGTCAAGGACCATTGGTCCCATGTTTCTTGAGCTTCCGCTTATGCTATCGCTGAGTATCACTTATGTCCTCATATGATTGAGACTAATTTTGCTCAAGTGGAGAATCTCGAAGATATTATCCTAGAGATTTCTGATTTTCAAAAGGCATCCGCTCTAATGAAAGATTAGATTTTAGACATGTGGCCGAGTTTCCCTAGTGACCAAACCCCTTTAATTTTTTTTGGTTTATTTGAACAATTTCCTTTGTTTGGATTATTTGTTTGAAATTTTTGGATATTATTTATTGCATGGTTGATTGAATGAAATTTTAAATTTCCTTATACATACCAATTCAATTAATTTATTTATAAATCTGCCTTGTGTGGAAGTTAGTTGTCTGACAAATAACGCAAAACGTGAACACATCTATTTTACTAACTTTATACCTAAAATATAAACTTTGACAACCCTTTCAAGCCCATCTAACCTGATTAAGGAGTATGACATTGTTTATATAATTTTGTCTAATGGTACTGAATTAGGGCTCGTTTGGATGTGCTTTTAAAATGACTGAAAGGGCTTTTAGAGAAAATGTTTTTTGTTCCAAAAGCACTTAAAGTGCTTTCTACAAGAAGCACCAATTGCAGAAAGTACTTTAAGTGATTTTCTAAATTTACTTGCATTTTTACTAAGGATTGGTTCCAAAAACATTTTCACCAAAAGCGCTTTTAGTCATTTGAAAAGCACATCCAAACGAGCTCTTAAACATTAAAGAGGCTATTTACTCACCCCTATTCAGAAGAAGGTTGTTGAGCTTTAAAGATATTCGAGATAGTAATTAGGACAAATTATATTTTATCACCTCAATTTTGGGTCACATAATAAACTCATACCTCAAGTAACTTTCGTATCTTGTAGCGGTTTTTGAGCTCGCTGCTGGTGTCGAGGATCATCGTGACTTGCTAAGGCAACGAGCTGACAAAGAGGGAGATTGTGAAAATGGGAAAGGATTTGCTGGGAATTGGGCATCGAAGTGGCTTGATGACATGTAGAGCCACCATTGTGAATTTTATTTTAATTTTACAATTTTTCTTATTAGTTTCTTGTCCATGTATCTCAAACTTGACATTTATATCAGTAAAAATGTGGGTCGTACATTTTTCACGTCATTATTTAATGGTCAAATTGACAGAATTATACTAACGACACACAGAAAAACCCCTACACTTTCTCCACACTCTCTTTGCCGCACCTTCTCTCTCCATTGTCAGTTAAATAGGCAACAACAAAGTATACCTAATGGAGAAACAAAAAGGGTAATGTTAGTGATACTAAATTTGCAAATAAATTTTGTATACTAAATTATGTGTCGCTTATAAGAATGAGTACGTTTATCAACGCTTAAGTAATAATATCCAATAATTACCTTTCCATGTCATGTAGTTTATAATATTTTACTATAAATTTAGTGTTCACTGACATTACCTAAATAAAAATATGGAAATGAAAAAGTAAGATGACAATACCAACATTTCTCAAATTCATGACTTGTCTAACACACAAACAAGATTTGATATTCACTAGTATTTGTTTGACCAGGAAAAAACTGGTATTTGTTAAGTCTATCCTTCAATCTCGGGAAACAAATTTATTACGGGAGAAATTAAAGAAACGCGGTTTTAGCTTCTCCACCTCCTTCTTAGTTGTCTCCATCTATCTCTCTCGCTCTCTCTCTCTCTCTCTCTCCTATCTCTCTTCACTCCCCCTTCCGCACTCACTCACTCCAAAGGCAAAACCCTCCATCTCTCTCTCTCTCTCTCTCTGGGTTTTATTTATTGGTGTTGTACTTGGTGCATTTCTTAGAAAGTCGTAACCTTGGCGTACAACACCAGATCTGCCCTGTCATTCATTCAATTCAAGCTATGCTCCACTAAGTTCAGTCACCTCCGAAATGTCCAACTCCGACCCCAAAACCCGACCCCGTCTGGGCCCATGGCCTCCGGTCCCGGAGTCCTCCCCAATGCCCCCTTCTTCCTGGGCTAAGAAAACCGGCTTCCGCCCCAAGTTCTCGGCGAGACCAATGCCAGTGATTCTGGCCAGATATCCCTGCCGCCGCACGGCCCCGAGAGCCCCAAACCCAGCCCGATCTCGAAGCTGGTCGGGCTCGACCCCAACCGGCGCCCAATGGTGTACCCGAGCGCGAGATGGCTACCCCGCCACCAGCGCCAGGGCCGCCTTCAGAAAAGGATAATAAGGTGAAGAGGAGGAAGGAGTCTGATGGAGGGTCGAAGACTGCGGCCAATGGGCCCAGTGGGGTTAATGGGCAGGCTGCGACTACGCCCACGGAGCCCAATTCGCAACCGCGGAGGGCGGCCAGGAGTGAGGAGGTGGTTGATGTTTTGCCACACGGGGTTGATGATGATGGGTATGTGGCTAGGCACTCTCATATGAAGTATGAGCTCAGAGATACACCTGGTCTTGGTGAGTGTTTTTCTCATACAAATGTGCTATCTTTCGATAAGTTTAATTGGTATATTTTGAGCCCGGTGTGTTTGTACAATTGTTGATCTTCGAATTTGATTTGGTTTATTGATAATTGAAAATGTGTTGTGCTTGTGTGTGATTATTCGGACGTTTATTCATGTATTTGTCTTGATTAAGCGTTGTAAATGTAATGAGTTTAGCTTTTCTGAAGTCAAATTTTTATGTTTTTGATATGATTTGTGTTTGTTGGTACAATGTTGCAGTTCCCATTGGCCTCTATGGGTTCCAGCATTATCTCTCCATGTTGGGTTCGATAATTCTAATTCCACTCGTCATAGTTCCAGCAATGGGTGGTACTTATGTGAGTAGTTGTGCACATATTATTTATTTTATGTTACACATTTATTTTCTGAGTGGTACAGTGCTGGATAGTTTGATTTGACTGGATTTAGTGTATGTAGGAGGATACTGCAAATGTTGTCTCCACAGTGCTTTTTATTTCGGGAGTGACCACTCTCTTGCAGACATCGTTTGGATCCAGATTGCCCTTGATACAGGGCCCCTCATTTGTTTACCTAGCTCCTGCATTGGCAATAATCAACTCCCCAGAATTTCAAGGACTCAATGGAAATGTATGTTGCTGTTCTTGTTTTTGTTTAGTTTGATTGGGAGTTTAGTGAACATCCTTTTGTATTTATCACACCCCAATCAATAGTTGAGTCTACAGCTGAAACAAAGTGAAAATTTGTAGTGTTGTCTTATAAAATTTCTGAGTGCTTTAAATAAAGCGCATCTTAGAGATGGCTACAGGCGTGATGTCTGCCATCTAATAGTATTGTTTGCTCTTCTTACTTTCTGTCCTTTGTTGGTTAGCCTGAACGGTTATATTATTAAAAGTTGTGTTTTGTTGCTTCAGTATGAAATTTGCATTTTACTGAGGTTCATGGAACTTATCAGGACTTCTTTCCATGCAAGGAAGAAATTCTATTTTATTGTTTATTTTGTGTGTTCTATGAACCATTACTTTGTCCTAATTCTGAAGAAGAAAGACTCACTGATTAGAAAACTGTCTTTCAGTGGATCATATCAGTTGGATCTTTCTTTTTCACCTCTACTTTATTGAAATGCCTTTTTATTCTTGTAGGTTAGTTCAACCAAATTGTTTGTGAAATTTAATATTCATCTTAAATTGTAAATAAAGATGCACACACATGTATTTACATATGTATAAATTATTACTCTCCTTTCCTTCCACTCTCCTCTAGCCTACTAGCCTTTAAGACCTGGCTTGAATTCTAAGAAATAAAATTAGCCACCAGCAGAATTACATAAGAATACCACGGATAACAATACCAAAACATTAAGACACTATTGCTTTCCAGATAGTCCCTAACTCTGGAGGAACAGAAGCCCATGAGGATGCATGAAATTGGACTTTCTCACAAATTTTCGACCTTCATCCCCCTAATGTCTTCAACTACCCTTCTATTTCTATCCTCCTGAACTAACCAAAAACCAGCCATCACAGCACAACTCCCCATTACCACTCCCTTCTTATCTCCAAAAAACAGAAAACTCTGCCATAACAAGGAAGCACATGAGACTGGAATCACCCAACTTAGGTCAACCCTAAACAGCCTTGACCGTTAAGACAACACGATTGGACGGTAGAGAAGAAAATGCTACAAGCTTTCAGCCCCACTTTTACACATAGCACACCAATGAAGAGGTGGACTAGAAGAATATCAGCTCCTCTAGGCCCTGTCACAAGTATTCAACCACACATGAACTTATCCAAGTTTTGCACCTGTACATTACCTAGGCAGTACTTGAGGCTTCTGAATTACATGCCATGTGCTAAATGAAGGGAATATTTTGTAAGGTTTCTTAATTATTTGGTGCCAAAGTGTGCTGAATGTACACTGGGTAGCCTTTATATATAAAGCATAATTATGTACTTAAAGAAAGGTCATTTTTAACTAAAAAATAATTGACATATATTGGCTCGAATAATCTCAATTGATGTATGTGTGTGTATGTGGGTGCGTGCGTGCGTGCGTGCGTGTCTGTATGTGTGCCTATGTGTGCGTGTGTCTGTATGTACGTGTGTGCGTGTGTCTGTGCGCGTGTGTGCATGTGTCTGTGCGCGTGTCTGTACGTGTGTCTGTGTGTACGTGTCTGTATGTACGTGTGTGCGTGTCTGTCTCTGTGTGTGTGTACGTGTGTCTGTATGTGTGTGTGTGTGTGTGTATGTACGTGTGTGTGTGTGTGTGTGTGTGTGTGTGTGTGTGTGTGTGTGTGTGTGTGTGTGTGTGTGTGTGTGTGTGTGTGTATGTACGTGTGTGTATGTATGTGTGTGTATGTACATACGTATGTATGTACATGTGTGTGTATGCACGTATGTACATGTGTGTATGTATGTATGTATGTATGTATGTACGTGTGTCTATGTATGTATGTACGTGTGTCTACGTATGTATGTATGTATGTATGTATGTATGTACGTATGTACGTGTGTGTGTGTGTGTGTGTGTGTGTGTGTGTGTGTGTATTTCATGATATTTAGTAACTGCGACTAAGTAGTAAACTAGAGGTCATTTTCACGTACAAACATTATGAAACAAACTGTGCTATTCAGTATTACTATGAGTGCCTTAGAGTTGCTGTTTTCTTTATTTTATTGGTTTCATTCATCTTTTACTTCCCTTTGAAATTGAATAACTGTTTCACTACTAGTGAATTCTTATCAACAACTGATGGTAATCCTTTGTCATGGCAGAATTTTAAGCATATCATGAAGGAGCTACAGGGGGCTGTAATAATAGGTTCAGCTTTTCAAGCAATACTTGGATATAGTGGACTAATGTCAATATTTTTGAGGTTTGATTCCAGCATCTTTACCAAATCCCCCTCATGTTTGGTTATTTATATTATTTTTTTTCTTTTTGCTAATAGGGAAAATCAGAATGCCCGGTATTTGATTAGTTTACTTTGAAATACCTGCCAAACCTACCAACCAGGATTGCCTAATCGGAGCTTGAGTAGATGGATGGAAATAAGTTTCATTTGTTATAGAGGTCACGGTTCGAATGTTTGTGGGTGTTTATTAATTATATGTTACGAATGTAATGATCCTTAGTAGATAGCAGTGTCTTCTTTTTATGTGAGATCTGTGGCTTGTAAGTTGTAATAATTACTTTTCAATTCTGGCAAGATAGGTAAGGGGTTCCCGAATATGGAAAAAAATGTTGAAAACAGACAGTTTTTTAGTGTAAGGGAAAAAAAGTGATATAGGATGCCCCGTGGAAACCACCAATTTGATTTTCAAGTCTGGAGTTATTTAATTTATTTCAGACTGGGTATATGGATTGAACTATTTGATGCAGCTTAGTTGGCAGTGATCAAATTATTCCATGGGGTTCGGTCTTGGCTGTGGATGATTTGATATGCCATCATTATTATACATGAAAAAGGAGAGTGAACAGTGGGATGACTATATGGAATAATATGCACTGAGTTTTAATGTATCAAAGGGGATCAAGTATTTGTGAAGAGGGCAAGTAAGCAATCACATGAATAATGTAGAGGTGCATAGTGATATTGTAAACTAGCCTAGTGTTTAAACCAATTGATAGATCATTAATATGTTAGAAATATTAATCTTGGTAGTGGCTTGAGCTGATTGAATTAAAGGCTTATTTTTTCCTATACCCTCTAGACTCTAGAAAAAAAATCTCACTTTATCCCGTGTACTCATTTTTCATGCCCCCTATTACCCCATTTTGTCAACTGGGTTGAAAGAAGTATTAGTTTTGCTGATCTGCTAACGTGACACTGTTTCTTTGGTGTTTTTCAGCCGTGAATTACAGAGATAGGTTAATAAATTGTGTGTTTTAGACCACACAATTCATACGGCCTTTCAATATTGATTTTTCTTTGAATCACTTTTCACTAAATGTTTGCCAAATATTACATCTTATATTCAAAATATTTCTTTTGGATTTGGTTCCTAGCTTTTGTACAACACTTGCAATAGTTGGGTCTTGTACTGCAAAATCAATAACTCAATGTCAGTTCGTTTGCCTTTCCTATTCAGGTTAATCAATCCAGTGGTTGTGTCACCAACAATTGCTGCTGTTGGACTTTCTTTCTATAGTTATGGTTTCCCGTTAATTGGTAATTGTCTTGAGATTGGTGCGGTGCAGATACTAGTGGTCATTATTTTTTCTCTTGTAAGTATATGAAGCTACCCTTTTATTTGTTTTTAGTCATTGCTTTTATAGGTATATAATAGATTATTCATGTCAACTGTTTTTTTCTCCGTGCCAAAACACCTAACGCACTATTATTTTACTTTCTGCAGTACCTACGGAAGATATCCGTTTTTGGTCATCGTGTATTTCTGATATATGCGGTAAGTTCCTCCATGTAACACAATAAAAAAGATATACGCTGTAAGTTAGAAATATTTAGGTTTATATCATATTCACTGTTTACGATTATTAATCTTAGCATGTATGTTACACTTGTATGGATGCCTTCTGTAAATTGTATAAATTGATACGGTTCTGTCTGAACTGCCAGGTTCCGTTGGGTCTGGCAATCACATGGTCGGCTGCTTTCCTACTAACTGAAGCTGGAGCATATAGCTATAAAGGTTGTGATATAAATGTACCTGCATCAAACATAGTATCTGAACATTGCAGAAAGCATGTTTTGAGGATGAAGAGCTGTCGAGTTGATACTTCTCATGCACTAAGATCTGCCCCCTGGTTTAGGTTTCCCTATCCATTACAATGGGGTACTCCTGTCTTCCACTGGAAAATGGCCCTTGTCATGTGTGTGGTATCAATTATTGCATCAGTTGATTCGGTTAGTTTTCTTGTCATTCATTTTGGATATAAACTTCTTGGAGTTATAGTTGCTTTATAACATGAACTTTTATATTTTCATATTTTTTTCTAGTTTCACTGTTTAGCACATGCTGGACTCCTGAATTTGATGGACACCACTATAGTATTTATATAACAGTTTCAGATTTATATATGTTATTAGAATGCTATTTCCATTAAATAGATGAGTATGAAATGAATGAGTTGGCTTTAACCCAGTTTTGATAAATTAGTTCTTAACTCTGGTTGATATGTGAATGCAAGGTTTGATTGATGTCCTGGACTAATGCTTGATAAAAAAATTTCTCTACATCTGTCTTGGTCCCATAAAACTTGTGAGATTGAAGATGTTGGCGATTGGAACAATGTACTTGGTAGGATAATAAACTGAGAGCTACTCATACTTTCTTTGTTGATAGGTGAAAACTTATTGTCTCATGGTCTTAATTGTTCACTTTAGAAAAACACCAGTCTGGTCTTTAAAGATCTTGGTTACATCAGTGTATGGGATTGCCTCTTGGAAATGCCCTCTATACATGTGTCGTGGAAATATTAACAAACTACTAAATTACTGGTTACAATGAAAACTATTTACAACATTAGGTATTATTCTTTCTTTTCCTGTCAAGTTGCTAATTTAATTTGTCATGTCATACTGTCTGATTAGTTTGGTTGACCTTTTGCTTTGTGTATGAAATTCCTAGATTGGCTCATATCATGCATCTTCATTATTGGTGGCATCCAGACCTCCTACTCCTGGTGTTCTTAGTCGAGGGATTGGTCTGGAAGGTCTTTCTAGTGTCTTGGCTGGTCTATGGGGTACTGGAACAGGGTCCACGAGCTTAACTGAAAATGTGCACACAATAGCCGTCACTAAGATGGGAAGCCGTAGAGCTGTTGAATTGGGTGCATGCGTTTTGATCGTCTTATCCCTTGTCGGTAAGTGTTTGTCAAACTTGTGTTTTCAATTGTAACAATGGGCTTGTACCTCAACAAGAATCTGTATGACTACTAGTCAGTTTCTCTTTTGGTTGGGCATTGCAGCATTTAGATAGTGTGTAGTTTGAATATCTATAATAGCAGGTTATCTATTGGTTTTGTTAGAGGATTATAATTGCTCATATGATATGTTTATGGCCCGTTTGGTTACACACTGTTCTCAATCTTCATTATACACTTTTCGGGATTACCATTTGCTTATTCTGCAGTTATTTCACCGCCAGGATCTTTTCTGTGCTATTAAATTGTTAGCATATAGTTGTCCTCCACTGTTTAAAAGATATGAACAAAGCTTGTCTGCTCATGTAAGAATAATTGCAGGCATATGATGGTTTGGGATTGTGATTTTCATTAAATACTACTCTTCAAGCATTTTTAGATGAATTCTTTCTCTCATTGCTGACTGTAATCCTGGTCTGTTTGCTTTATGGGCTGATTGAACTATCAAAGGGGTTGGTCTCAAAATAATTAAATCAGTGAAGCTCAAACAATGCTTTATACACGTTACATTATAGGACTTGCAAAGATTATGTTGGAATATGTTTGTACATTTTTATCTTGGATTGAACAGATCTTTCTGCCGTAGAAATTGGCTATTTGATCCTGACCATCGTTATCTATGTTAGAAACTTATAGTCAACATTTGTTTTGAATGTTTCCTCTGTTTCTCATGCTACTTCATATCACCACATCTTGGTGATTTGGTATCCATTACCCCTGGTACAACTTAAAAGATGCGAGTTATATGTAGAATCAAGTGCATATTTTGCATTGCATCTAATCTCAGTTATTGTACTTGCAGGTAAAGTTGGAGGCTTTCTAGCATCTATTCCTCAAGTCGTGGTTGCTGCACTGCTGTGCTTCATGTGGGCGATGCTTGCTGCATTAGGCCTATCAAATCTACGTTATAGTGAGGCTGGAAGCTCTAGGAATATTATCATAGTCGGGTTATCTTTGTTTTTCTCGCTTTCAATACCGGCCTACTTTCAGCAATATGGCATCTCTCCAAACTCCAACTTATCTGTTCCGAGTTATTTTCAACCATACATTGTAGCTTCCCATGGACCCTTCCGCAGCAAATATGGAGGGGTATGCTTCTACTTGACATTCTGCAATAAAAAGAATGTGTTCTGTATTTTGTTTTTTTTTGTTTTTTTTTTTTTTTTTTTTGTGTGTTTCATTTTTGAATAGTAGGAAAAGAACAGCTTTGTGGTCAACTGACCCATTTGGACTACTAGAGGAAAAAATGAAAACCAAATAAATAACTGGCATTCTACAAGTAAATCCAAGTCCTTTGCACATGATAGTAAAGATAACCAGCTGCCTTTCTTTATCCATTCTACTGTTTAAATAGAGTTCATACAATCCAATTAACATAGGAAAAGTCAAACAAGTTAAGCTACTTGTACAACTTCTTTTGCCCCCCACATGTTACTTATAGAAGACTCGATACTCATACCATAACTGTCTCCCTTAACATGCTGTAACACCTGGAATTTACTAATGTTGATACCTCCTTTTCCCTTTTTGCCCTTCTGTGTGTTAGGTGTGGTGCATACATTAGTCATCAATTCGTTGAATCCTGAATCCCTGATTCTCCCTCGTTTTCCCAGATAAAGCACTTGGTGGTTGGGAAATAGAACCAACCACCTTACTTAGATTACTTGGGACATTTTTAGATACTGATAGCCATTTTGGTAGCTGGTCCTTTTCTACTTTATTCCTGTTGGGCAGTTTTATAATTCTGTTCAGTGGTTGTCATTTTTTGTGAAGTTGAAAGCGGTTTGTATGCTGAATAGCATGGTAGATGGTTGGTTTCCATTATTAGATATAACTCTGCATATCAACCCTATAGAAACCAGAATGTTTGTCACATCATTTCCCTAGCATATGCCTATATTGTTGGCATAGTCAATCTAATACACATGCTGGCCCTGCATATGTAATAAGCTCTGCTTAAGATGTTCTCTTTGCATATGTAAAAAGCTCTGCTTTAGAACCAATAAACTCTACTCAAGATGTTATTTTTGCAGGTGAACTATGTGCTGAACACGTTATTCTCATTACACATGGTGATTGCATTCCTTGTGGCTTTTATCCTGGATAACACTGTACCTGGCAATCGTCAAGAACGCGGGGTGTATGTGTGGTCTGAAGCTGAGGTTGCTAAGAGGGAGCCTGCTGTTGCCAAGGACTATGAGCTGCCCTTCAGAATTAGCAGGTTTTTCAGATGGGTGAAATGGGTTGGCCTTTGACAGAATTTTGTGGTTGGTGTTGGCATAGTCAGAAGTTAAAGCTTTTCGAGCAGCCATTTTCAGGTGACGATTGTACTGTACTGTGATTCTAAATGTAAGTTCGGGGCACATACTCTTAATTATTGGCCTGGAAACTGTTTTTTCCTGCACGAACAGAGTTGCGACTTGGTAGACTCATAGGTCTTGTAGAGATATTGGTGTACATTTGAGGAACCAGAGGATATGGTTTTGCTGTAATCTTAGATAAATGTAACTAGTTTTGAGTCATTGGGAATATCAGGTGGGACTCTCTTTCATGCTGTCAAGTGAGGTTCATGTATATGTTATTTCGTTTGTTGTTTCGCTTTTGTTTTCCTTGATCAGCTAGACAGCTACTTCCACAAATGTCAGATTCTCAATGAAAACAAAAATATTCACACCGCGGGAGATCTGCATGCCGGAATGTTTTACTTTATGTAAACTGTTTACATATATGATCAACTACAACTCCAACTGATTAAGCTTGTAACTCCGCTGTCTCTAACACCGCACTTTGTCGTGAAGATTGTGAAGAACCCTATTTGCGGAGTCAATTGGACGATTCCGTCGTATATTTTGTTTTTGGTTTGCTTTTTTACAGTGCACAAAGATCTCTCCCAGTCTGAAACTTTCTGGCTTGGATTGCTTGGAGCCTGCATATTTTCAGTTGAGAGCCTTGAGGCTCCTCTTCTGCACTGTCGCCATGGATTCTTCACTGGGAAAGTTGCCCTTTTGCTAAGATTTCTCGGATTCGGTTTCCCGATTTGTTAACAGACTAATCTAATTGACTTGGTGCAAACCTTGTGCTGAAAAATCATTTTTCATTGATTTCGTTCGTGCCATCTGGTTCTGGTGAGAGGGAACACGACGAAATAAGCCGTAAAATGATTGCCGGAAAATACATAAGATTGGGCTGGAATCCAAAATCTGCCACTGTACCAACAGGGGCTGAGATTTTTTAGTGCTAGTGTACCGGAACACACAACTTATAGACCAAGCGTCATAAATGAATGAACTTGCAAAAGAAAGTTAGCAATCATTTGCATTGTAACACGTTTGTGTAGAAGGCCATATTCTAAGTACATTGAAAAATTTCTCCAATAACGGCAAATACACTCTCATCTTTCGATTTGTTAGCTCTCCCAAATATTAAAATCGAGATAGAAAAAAATGAATTTACCAAATGAAAAAAAATGAAGGTCAATTGAAAAGTGTAGACATGATGAGCACGATGAGTGGTGATAAATCCGTATGATGAGAGCTAATGGATTATGGAATAGAAGTACAAATGATTGGACTAAAAGTACGAATCCGGATTCTCGTCGGATCCTCCTTGTGACGATCTCAGGATTCGTGAATCATATTCGTTCATCGTATATCGTGCGATCATAAATCATTTTAACTATTTTTATTCAAAATTAAAGGGAATTGTTATTAGCACTCCAAAAATCTCATTTGGCACTCCAAACTTTCTATAATTAGAAAGAAAAATACACTTGTGAGGAGTGTAGAATGAAAATTTTGAAGTGCTAATAGCAATTCCCAAATTAAATACAAACAGTACCTAACAAAAACTGACCGCACAATGTACGATGAAATGATACAATTTATGAATTCCCAGAATCCTCACCAAAAGAATTTGAAGAGGATCCTGTTGGTAAAAGTATGAAGCACTTTCTGTTGAGATTTTCTGCAATGCCTCGGAGTAAGGACACGTGGCAAAATCTTATTTAATTGGTTTCCTATCATCATCGGGAATTGGGATGCCAAGTTAACTTGTGAAACAATCTATTCTTGTTTCTTGATTGGAAACCCTAACCCACTAACCGTTCGCTTCTAAATACAAAACTGCATCCCCTTTCTTTTGGGCACCCGCAATTCCCCCTCCACCAATTCTACAAACAAAGGCACTGCGCCTACTGATTTGGGACAAGATTCAGAGGAAGAAGTCGATGTGTGTGTATATATATATATGTGTGTGTGCGTGTGTGTGTGTGTGTGTGTGCAGATGATATAAGAATCATCATCATGGGGAAGAACAAGATCGACATCAAGAAAATAAAAAACAAAAACTACCTCAAGGCCATATTCTCCAAGTGGCGCAAGGCTTTGTTCCAAAAGGCCACTGATCTATGCTGCTTGACCGATGCCACCCTTGCGGTTATAGCCTTTTCGCCCGGTAACAAGCCCTTCTTCTTTGGCCACCCCTCCGCCGAATCTGGCATTGATCGATTTCTTGCTGAACAAGCAAGGTGTGCATCCGATGATCGCAAAGAGGAGGTTCTTGAGTAAAAATTTGAAGTCGAGTCGAGAGGAAGAAAAGGAAGGGGGCCAAGGTATGGATGAGGAGAATGGGAATTTTTGGTGGGAGGAGCCGATTGAGGAAGGGTTGGAATTGTTGGAACTCAAAAAGTACAAGTCTTTGTTAGAACGTTTGAGGGAGAATGCGGCTATTAAGTTAGATGAGATGAATTGGAAAGAATTGTGCACAAAAGATTATCTCGGTATGAATTGGGGTTTCGAGGTTGATTTGAGTTCTTCTACTCCTAGTGAACTAAGAGATGTATAAGATTAATGGCTGTGTTGAGAATTTTGGGTTTTAGTTTTGGGGTAGCTAGAGACGGTGGTGGCGCCGCCTTCAGCAGGAGAAATCACATCTCTTTTGAGAAAGGCCACGGTTTAGAGAGGTGCGCGGAGCTGAGCCTCATTCTCTAAACGGAGTGTGATGTTTTTTGGTTTTAGTTTTGAATAATTAGGGAAGTTGTAGCTATTGTGATGCAAAAGACATAAATTTTAATGCAATATTTTTGGGTACTTCAATCTTAAATTTCTGGAATTCTGGTTGTGTCAGTAAGTTTTGTGTTGTTCATGTAATTACAAGTGCTAATGTACAATTCTCTGTGCCGAAGTTTGATCTTTCTCAAGTTTCGAGTGTGACGCCAATAGATTGGCCAGTAATTACTAATGAATCGGCATGAATATCTTGTGAAGTTCTGTTAATTGAATTCATTTGCAGGAGGGTTAGTAAGGCTAACATCAGATGTAGACTTCAAGTCTAGCTAGAGTCGATTTTGGTCTTTGAACTTGGGCTCGTGGCTGGGTGTCACTGCCATTTTATAGTCGTTTTTTTTTTTTTTTTACAAACGATATTTTCTACACTAAACGTTGGGTGAGTTGGCTAAGCTTTATTTGCTAGCAATAATGTGGTTCAAATTCGTTTTTTAAACTGTAGCATTAAACGCCTGTCATTTGCTAGTCTTGTGGTAAGTTGTTTGTTTTTTTTTTTTTTTTTTTTTTCGAGAGAGAGAGAGAGAGAGAGAGAGAGAGAGAGAGAGAGAATCTCTCATGTACCCAGGACAATTGCCCCACTTGCTCGAGTTGTTCCACAAGGTTGAGCTTGTGGGCCTATTGTTGACACTTGGGCTGGTTTTCGGCTGTCCTTATCATGCTTATTTTTGGGCCTTGGCCTTAAGGAGTGGTTTTGGGCATTAACAGTCCACACTTCAATTATTTCTAATTTCCTAAACTACAACTCAAAAATAACAATTGTTTTAAACAGTGAAAAGCTCCTTAATAAGACATTATCCATAAGAAGGAAATTATGGTAGCGAAATTCAAGCATGAGATTTGAACCCCTCAGGAAAGCCATGTTGAAGAATACAACCATCTCACGTCAAAAAATTGACGAAGTTTAGTATAACTTATACTGATGAGTGGTTTTACTTCTAATTACAATGAGATCTTTTGTAATAAAGTATCGCACTCGTCCTCTTTACTGTTAATACTGAATACAATCCATGCACTTGTGAACCACCCCAAGAAGTAAGTTACATAGCGTGAAATTGGTGCCCCTTTTTTGGGCCCTTCTTCTTGCATTTGCAACTGCAAAGGACTAGTTGGAGACTCCTCAAAACTTCCTTAATATTTGTAGAAACTGTATATCACATATTTTAAAAGCTGGTAGTTCATCAAATGTTTAGCAATTAATTAATTATTCACATATTTTAAAATACTAGACCACATTCCAGAAATTTTATGATGTAGAAATCTCCTAAAACTTTTGTTATCTTTGAAGTTGGATAGGGAGTGTGATTGGAGATGAATTTTCCGTATTCCTTCTTAAATTTTGGTAGGAATTTATTTAGAGAGTCCATTAAGAATGCAAGTAGTCATAAAAATATGTTAGACTTGGTTCACTAAATAGAGGAAAGCAAGTTGAAGAGCGAACTTCTCATCCACTTTGTCAAAGAAAAGAATAAATAAAATACGAAAGTGTAAGAATAGTTTATATATAAAAATTAATAAAGTTACACTCTCCCATTTAGTGGATGACAAGTTCGTCATTTAGTGGAAGGTCTTGAGTCTAATTTCATGAATGATACATTTGATATTATTTTATTATGACCGTCTCATTATGTTACTTAACTCAAATCATCTTTTTAAGTGTATATAACATCGTTGTAACAATAAAGTTTGTGTCTCTAGTCAACAGTTACTAAAACTCGCAGAGGATTTTAAGCACCTTTTTAAGTTAGCATCGGCTCATCTTCGCACAACACATCGTAGAAGACCAGAAGCACTGTACAGTATCCTTAGATAACATTTTGACTTGACTACATAGTCCTGAGTCCTCTTCCTCCTCCCAAAGGTCGTCCCGAAGGCAACAATTTTGCAGTTAAAGTGGGTGAGAAAGTATAAAGAAATGTCCTACCATGTCCTACCATTTACAACTTGATCGTTTTGGTGCATGATTACATGGCCATTTGAATTCTACTCACCAAATAAAACTATCATAACACGTTTTTCATGTCACGCACCAAACAGGCTTGCAGCATTTGGCTTGTCTCTCTACTGGTACCAATAATTCATTAATTTGCTAAAAGTGGTAGTTGGAAGCTAGCCTTGTCAAATTCCACTACACTGATTTGACCTTCTACAACAACCGCAGAGGGTACGTGAGTATTCTTTGGTTTACATGAAAGTTCACATTTAGTCTCCTAACTCAAAGTGTCTTTATTAACAACCATTTCGTTTTCAATTTCAGTATTTTAAATCAATTTAAAAAATAAATAAAAACTGAAATCCAAAAAATAAAAATTCAAGGTCAAATTAGTTTTCAATTTTCATTTTATAAAAAATTGAAAATTGAAGGTAGTTACCAAATTGGATTTCACTTTTTAAATTTCGAAAAAATGAAAACAAAAAATGAAAATGAAATGGTTATCAAACGGCTCCTAAAATTTTATTTACAGTAAATAGATTTTAAGAGACAAGCTAGATTTTAAGCCACAATGAACATTCACATTGTAGCTTAAAATCTATTT